AGCATGCGGCCTTTTATAAGATCTCTGTTCTTTTAATAGATGCAAGGTTCTTTTTGTTTAGTCATCCTTCTCTGACGAGGAAATGCATTTCATACCTTAACATCGTATGCTACCGCAGAGACTGCCTAACCCACCCAATCTGCCATTCTCTATCGTTTCTTTCGTCTTTTCGACATCGGTCGACTTCATGTTTTGTCAGATCACACGACTTGTGATTCGCAATTTCACACGCAAAGATGCTGGCTACTACACCTGCCGGACGCCACACAACACCGAGGCTCCTGGCCGTCTCGAGCTGGTGCTTCGTCCACAACTCTTGGCTGACTACGCGCCCTCCCCACCGAAAAACAAAGAGGGTACCGAAAACGGCGGCATCATCACCGGACACCAGATTTCCGTTGCTCTGGAGGAGGGGACAAAGACACAACTGACCTGTCGCATCAATCCACGCCTTGGATTTCCCAACGTGACACAGGTTGCCATCACTTGGTACTTTCAAGGCCAGCATATCATCAGTCCTGGCGAGGTGGAGGAGCATCGTCTCAGAATGGCCGAACTGATGGCACAAGAGGCCAGTGGGTTGTCGGAAAGTCCTGTCGAGGCACCGTCTGCCAATCCGGTCGCCAACACTAGAGGGATATTCTCCTCGCCTTTTCAGGAAGAGGCAGAAAAAACCACTCCTTCAGGCGAGAAATACGTTGAAAAACGAACCTACGAGAAAGGCAACGATCCTGCCCGTCTGGCACCGAGAGAGTTTGGCGTGGAGATAAGAGAAAATAATCAGGTGAATTGATATGAAACTTTCGTTCTCCCGTTTATTATTATATATTTTCAGTTTCTTGACGGAAACATCAGTTGTGAGCCTTCCATTATTTAGTTTAAGTAACTTTAATTTCCTTTTCTAGTGCTAAATTATGATTAGGGCAAAGAGATGCTTACATTACAGCCCTTCAAGGACGTTTAGTCAAGAGTGAAGAGGATTAGTTTACAAAATGAAAAGTGCTTTCGAATGGGCAGCCTGCTTGCCGCGAGAATGTTCTCTTTTGGTTTCGGTGAAAATGGGCTAAGCTCTTGCCTATCCTACGATAGGCATTATCAAAATAGTACATCAAGAAAACTCATCGGCTTATACCTACATTTTTCCTACATGAGTAGAGTTTCGAGACTACCAGTAAATCAGTAATATGAGATGAATTAATCCTATTTCGTTTAAGGTCGTGGCAATGTGGTCGAGTGTTTAAAGCGTCAAGCTCCCATTCTGCACTGCCACGGTTCGACTCCCGCTGGGCGTTTTGATAAGACCAATGCGAGGTCGAAACTGCAGTCCACTCCTGCCTGGATGAGAACAACTTTTGGGAAAACAAGGCTACGTGAAAGTCAATGGAAACGTCACCTCTACTCATATCATTGTGGGAAAATTCTATTACCAGTCCTTCATTACCTTAAACGAAATAGGGTTAATTCATCTCATATTATCCCTAAATGCCGTGTATATATACTTTAAGCGTTTACATTCTTATGTGGTGCGGAATGATTTGGTTTGTTCATGTCATATACCAATCTAGTAGTATGTGCGCTTGCATGCTTATGTGTGTATATGTGCGTACATGTTTATTTAAAAGTACATAACTAACGTTGATAGCCAAAATGAACTAGAACAGAGGATAAAATCGGTTTAAGGCCAGTATGGTTTAATTACCTTTTCATTCAACTCTCTCTATCCTTAAGTCTATCAATTAGGCTTAAGTAGTGCCTATTAAGCTTCCTACTTGCATATCTAAAATTAAAGTCAATTCCTAATATTCCAATCTCGATGATATTTTTTTGATTTCGTACTCAGCCACAGGAATGACATAAAGAGAAAAAATGACAAGTTTGAAACCACTCTTTCTCATACCTAATTTTTGCTAAATTATGACAAATGTTCTAATATCTGGCTAGAGCTTAGTGTTGATGTCGAATTCGATTAGTATTCTCCAAATGGAGCAGCATTGTCAGGGTCAGAGACAGGAAATTCTTGCAAAGATGACATACTTTCGGTCTATTTGTTATCTCCTCTGATGGTGAGCTCTTGACCAGACCTGGAAAGTTATAATCAGAGAGAGAGAGAAAGAAAAATGAAATTCCAGGATTGGAAGTTCTTGGTATAACTAGTCTGAAAACTGATACCGGCGATGATTTCTTTGCCGATTGTCGATTATCTAAAGTCTTCAAGAGATACTAAAAGTTCTTCATTCCATGATGCAATGCAGGCTTTATGACACAAGGAACCTTACTTCCCCATAAGTCGATCTCTGCGGTTGCCTTTCATAGAGCCCTGTCCATCCGTGACATCAGAACTGAGTTGCACTGATTCCTTCCAAGTCTATGCCCACACCTACTTGTCATGTGCTGACCTTTGTTGTTCTAAAATCGACTTTTATTTCGCATGAAGATGTGCGATGATGAAAGCCCACCAGAAGACAACTCTGAATTCGCTTTGGTCCTCTATCATTTTGTTTAGCACAACTATCCAGGTTTACGCAGACTTCAACACACATTTTTGGTTCCGGTGAAATGAGCTGAGCTTTTTATCCCCCAGGTCATATATACTCATACGGCAGCTCATTTACCGACTAGTCTAGAAAGCTTCGGTTACTTCCATTCGATAGTTATCTTTATTGATGAACATTTGGACATGTGTGTGCATGTACATGCGCGCATATGAGGCCAAATGGAGAGTCGCATAATGACATGAGCTGGTCTCATCAGCGCCACAGGCGGGACTCGAATAATGGCAGTGCAGTGTATGATCTCGACACGTTAATCAGTACGCCACACTGCCACCTTTGTCTTTGAGTCAAGGGTAGGTGCTAAGTTCAACGAAGGCCAGGAATTTTCCCCTATCACATTCTGTGCTGGTATTGCAAACTGCATTATTTATTCTTCGTCTATAAGTAGGTCTTCGAGGCTGCCAATAGATCATATATATTAGTTGTATTCATCCTATTTCGTTACTTATAAACGAAAAAAGTAATGTAGCAAATACCACTTTTCTTCATCGACAACCCCACCAAAAAATGTGATATTGGAAACTGCCTGAACTTCCTTAAAATTCACATCTTCCCTGTGACTCAAGGGAACTCATAACACCGTGGAATAATGGTAAAAGTGTCGAAATTATATGTTGCACGGCTATGGTTCGAGTCCCGCTGGGGGTGTTGGTGAGACCTAGGCGAGGTAGAAACGGCAGTCCCCCGGGAATGAGCATAGTTTTTGGAAAGCAGACTAAGTGAAGTTTAGTTGAAACATAGCGTCTACTCATATGATTGTGGGAAAATGGAACCTGAAGTTTTCTCATCACCTTAAACGAAAAAAGGTGAATACACCTACTGGTAGTCTCAAAAGCCTACTTATAGACGAGAAAGAATTCCTTCTTATCTTTTATTTTTTTTTTCTAATCTTCAAAATATTCCTTAATCTTTTGCTTTTAATGCGTCATCTTATCTTAGGTTTTGTACCAGCCCTACCAGAATTCGCATGTCTTAAAAGATATGAAAAAGAACTGGGTTTTGAAGATTTTCTTAATTGTATAGTGTGACGTGACTATCCATTACGAAGAAAAAGTTGACTGAAGGGAATTCGTGATGTGATCTTCATTACGCGGTATTTCTCCTTCGGTTTCCGATGAGACCACATCACAGCTTCCTTCCAATCAACTTTTTCTTCTAAATGGAAAGTCATGTTACAAAAAGTGCTTTAAGTTCTTCTATTTTATGCCCAGTTTCTGAGATTTGCTCTGGGACTTGGTATTCTATCAGCATTCGCACTTCTTAAGACCGCTTGTTTTGGAAAAAGAGTCCTATTCCTCTCTAAAGATGGCATAGCTGAAAAATTTTTTAAAATTTATTTGATACTTTCTTAAACTTTCACCTATTCTAATGGAATGGAGGCAAGAAGGCAAAGTTAGAGCTAAAATAAGGGTGTTCAACTCTTTATTTCTCCTCAAATTATCATCTTTGCCTATCTCTCATTAAGAATCAATTCTCACTTTCATTTAAGCCTAGTATACACTTAGTAATCAGTAATGAATTAATAATTAATAAATTAATAGATAGTAAATAATGAATTAAATCAAACAAAGTGGACGCTTGGTGACGAGTAATAATTAATAATTAACTAAATGTGAATGCGTTGCAAGGCCCATCTGATTCCTTTTGCTAATAATTCGTATCACAAACCCTAAACTCCCATTAAATATTGATTTAAAAATTCCAAATTCAATCTTGTAACTATATTTGAGAAAATTAAAGAATTAAACCAGCATAGGCTGTTTTCAATAAAGATCTCTAGACAGCTTAGAGCCCAGCAAACGTAAAAAAATGTTGACGAATCGATCCTATCCTACTCAAATTTAAATTTAATACCACTTTTCGGTTGGTTAATTAAATTTAAGAAATAATTTTATTTACTACTGCCATGTGTCGAAATAGCAAAATAATCATTCATGTATGCAATCAATCGTTGCCGAGTTAATAAAGCATCTTTCATTTGGCGTCTGTCAAAACTTGTGGTTTTTAAGTCCTGGCAAGTCACATTGCCACTTTCTATTCAGCCTGAAAAGACTTTGATGCTATCAGTAGATCTTGATTAGCAATTCGGGTCAGCCTCGGTCGCCTAAACATGAGGCCAGCACTGATAGTTCCACTTACCGCCATTAAATGAGTCAAAGGCCTTGCGATGCCATTGAATTTCACTCACTCTTGCCTCCAAAACGACTCTTTTCCGGACATGACTGTCCCACTTTTTCATTAGCCCCGCTAAGGGGATTTAAAACCAAATCGTTCAACTCAACCGGCAATACGTTACCACTCCATCGGACAGCCACGGGTTTCAAGGGTCCAGATGCCTCGTCCTATTACAATGTTTTTAGTTGAATATTGTCGAAAAGGTAAACTTATATTTACTGGTGTGAGCGATGATACTACTCAATAATTTGTGAGTATGTATCAAGACTATATTTAGACCGAGATCATCCTAGTCACTTAAGGCACTATACGGACTGATGTTTTAATTTCAATTAAGGAAGTGGGTCGAA